GAGTCTGAAAAGCACCAAGGTCCTCTAGGAAACAGCACACTAAGATGAAAGGCAAATAGTTCACTGATAGCACTGAGGATTTTATATTATTTGGGAATCTAGATTTTTAGTGCAAAATCGGGTTTTATCGATGCCTTTGAATTATTTTATTTTGCAGGATGTATGTGAAAAAGTGGAAGGAAGTGAACGAGAAGTAGAGAAGCTAATGAAGGATATAAACAGGTTAAAACAGGAAATTAAGAAAAGGCAGCAAGCACAGACCCAAGCAGCACGTGAGTAAAAAGTTCACTGTACTTTCCATGTTCTCTTCTGATGTAAATGATGAAGAGCTGGGCATGGCGGTGCACACCTGTCATCCCAGCACTCAGGAGACAGAGGCAGGAGGGTTATTTTGAGTTGGAGGCCAGCCTGGGCTACATAGTGAAATCCTGTCTGAAAAAAACAAACAAAAAGAATTATGGAAGAGCCAGCTGTACTAACCAGTAAGTTTCTCCACCTTGGGATTGAAAGAAGTCATTGTAGCTGGGCCTGGTGGTGCACACCTGTAATCCCAGCACTTGGAAGGCCAAGGCAGGAGGACTGTTGTGAGTTCAAGGCCAGCCTAAACTACAGAGCAAGACCCTGTTTCCAAAAGTCATTTTATTAATACTCTTTGGTCTCACTGAACAAAGAATATGGTATTATAGTAGATTTTTTTTATTAACATGTAACTTAAATGTAACTTTCTCTTAGAATATTGTAGCATATAAGCTGGGCAGGGTGCACATACACGTAATTTTAGGACTCTGGTCAGGCTCAGGCAGGAGGATCCTGAGTTCGAGCCCAGCCTGCACAACTTAGTGACCTAGCAAGATCCTTTCTCAAGAATGAAGATAAAAAAGGGCTGGGAATGTAGTTAAGTGTGAAGGCCCTGAGTTCAATCCCCAGAGCCAGAAAAGAGGGAGAGGGAAAAGCAACGAAACTGTGGCATATAATAGGAATTTGGGATTTATACATGTCATTCTTACTTTGGATAACTGTTGAAATCTTTTTTTTTATTTTTTTTTTGCTTTCTTTTTAAAATTTTTTTATTTTCTTATTTTAAAGAGAGTAGTAAATGAGAAACAAACAAAAAAATAGAACAGCAGCAGCATACCAGTATCGCGAACATAAACAAATCAAAGCAAGAACATTCAAAGTGATACAGGGTCTCAAGACAAAATAATACAAATCAGCAGTGGTTGTTACATTACATATCTCTATCCTCAACTACGTTGCTCAGATTACCAGATGTAAGAATGAAAGATTGCCCAAACCATGAAAGAGAATAAGAAAACAATTCTTCGATAAAACAGTAGAAATAATACAGAGTTTCACTAGTTAAGATGGTAGGAGTTCACCATTGTAATTCCATTGCATATTGTTACCTTCAGATCAGTTGCAAAATCTTTTTTTAGACAAATAATTATAAAAGCTTTTGGAATAAATATATTGAACTGTGACTTTATTTTCTTTAGGAGAGCAGGATGTCCAGAAGGACCCTCAGGAGAACAGTTTTCTTTGTCAAGCTTTACGGACCTTTTTTCCAGATTGTGAATTTCTCCACTCTTGTGTTATCTCTCTGAAAACCAAACAGATCTGTGAAAGCAGATGTGATGCCACGCACAGTCTGGACGTAGCGGACAAGCTGACCTTGATGGTAGAGTACGCTCACTCCCTGGAAGCCAGTCCGGCTAGGACTGCACAGGGGCCTAAGCGCAGAGCTGCGGGCCCAGACGATGAACAGCAGCTGAAGAAGCTGCGGCTGTCAGAGCCAGGAAACGAGCGATCAGAGACAGGTACTGAGAGCAGTAACCAAGAAAAAGCCTCCCCAGCAAGCAGCCTAGACACAGACGACGAGATGGAAAGAATGCGGGGTGCCAGTGAATATCCAGAATCTCCCACGTTTTAACCCTCGTAACTCAGAATGAAAGTTTTGATTTTGCCAAACATCACGGTGTTCAGCCACTCACAGTGACCCACAGAAAGCCGGCTCGCTTTGACTGCACTCAGCTGTCTGCGGTGCTGCCTGGGTGAGGTGTTTCTTGTTACTGGGGTTGCCCACTTACAGTAATACACAAATAAGATCCACGGCACTTATTTCATAACGGACTTTTAAAAATACTGATGCTTTTGTTATTGTACATTTTTGCAGTGCTAGGTATTAAACCCAGGTACCTGTATTCTAGGAAGATGCTCTACTGAGCTGCATGCCCAGCCCAAGATGCTTCTATTTGAAAATCAAAACCTTCCACTTTTCTTTCTAAATTATGGAGGGAAAAACATTTTTTTATTTATGCATTTTTTTTTTTTTTTGAAACCAGGAATCAAACTCAGAACCTTGCCAGGCAGGCACTTGTGCCACTGAGCTATATCCCCAGTCTGGAAAAACATTTTTTAAACTTCAGCATACTCAGCAATTCACAACATCAAAGGAATATAAAGTTCATATGAAAATTTATTTTACCTAAGTCATTACAATTCCTCCTCTTTAAATGATGATGAAGATTATTTTTTTGTTTGTTTTTATTTTTCTTCTGGTACCAGGAATCGAACTCAGGACCTTGCGCTTGCCAGGCAGGCGCTGTGCCGCTGAGCTAAATCCCCAGCCCCGATGATGAAGATTAGTAAGCAGGGCATGGTGACGTCTACTCACAGTCACAGCTACTGAGCAGGCTGAGGCAGAAAGACTGCTTGAGCTCAGGAGTTAAGGCCAGCCTGGGCAACACACTAACACCTGGCCTCAAAAAAAAAAAAAAGCATGTTATCACTGGAGAGGCCAGTAAAAATGTTGGATAACATGCAATGTTGGATAAAATGCAACATTGGGGACATTCTTACATTGAAAAATGATCTGAAATTCAAATGTAGTTGGGTGTCCTGGGTTCCACTTGCTAGATCCAGCAGCTTTGATTATAGCACAAACAGTTCCCTAGCATCTTCTTGAACTCACTACGTAGCCTTTTATTTAAACTGGTTGGGCCTGGCGGCCCATGCCTGTAACCCCAGCACTTGGGAGGCTGAGGCGGGATGATCGCTGCAAGTTCAAAGCCAGCCTGAACTACACAATGAGACCTTGTCTTTTAAAAAAAAAAAAAAAAGGCAAAAACATATGTTAATTTTTCATCTGTTTGGTTTAGGGCCCGGAATGTTTCTGTGTAAAGTCCACTAGGTAGGAGTTCCTATGCAAACTACTCTCATTACTTAACCATTACAGCACTCAGTTTTGCTTTTGTTAAAGTGAACAGTTTTCAGAAACTTGTAAAGCCACCCAAGTACAAAATGCAACTAGGTTTCCCGTTCCACACCCCTCCACCCCTGTATGTACCCATCTTCCTCCTGGCCAGCTTTTCAGCTATGTCCTGTAGCTATCAAGTCTTCCCACAGCATTTATGTAATTTGCTCGGCAGTATTTTTTTATGCTCAGACTTTGTCAGTAACACAAATCTGATCGTTGGCACTGCAGAGGTCAGCAGTTGGGGGAGACCTGGCCATCAGTGTGATTTCTAGGGTGGACATCACAGCCCAGGTTAATCTGCGGATGTCGGATAAGTGAGCTTGCATCAGATGGGTGCAGTGCAAGCGCCTTTGTCCCAGCTCCTCAGGGATCAGGCAAGCAGGTCACTTGAGCCCGGGAGCTGGAGGCCAGCCTGGGCACCACGGAAGTCCCCATCTCAGAGGAGAACAAGGGGCCAGGGCTCTTGCTGTCACATGCAGATCCACGTCTTCTCTATACACGTGAGTTTATGTGTCACATGACACCCCGCTGTGTCTCACTCCCCGGACAGAATGCTGAATGCACACCCTGAACTCTGCTCTTCACCCGGCAGTGTCTAAAGAAATTACCTGGCGGAGATCAGGTTCAGTAACAGACGTTCATTTTCTGTGCTTCCATGCATAATCATGGGGTTTTTTGTGAACTCAGTATCCAGGATGGTTTGCGCAAACTGCCGGGGTTGTTTCACAGGGGATGAAGTAATACAGTGCTACACACAGCAGGAGAACCAGGACGATCAGTCTGAGTCCCATCTGTGTCACTGCCATGAGAGAATGATTGATAGCAGAGTATCTACGAATCATCCTTTCATATAAAAAAAGTCCTACCAGTTTAAGGCTAATTCATCCACAGGGTGAACAAACTGGTAAAGACCAGCTGCAAAGGGCCTGGAATGAAAACATGTGCTAAACAACAGCTCAGTGAAAAGAAAACAAGATCTTCAGGAATTGGAAGATGCTGACAGGAGGACTAGAAACTATAGACAAGCTGGAGTAACAGAGCACAGCTAGAGCTGGGGAAGAAATTCAGCGCAGTGGCCGCCTTTAGAAGCTTTCATCACGAGCCACTGTAGGAGGGGGTTAACTGCTGAGAACTTCCCAGTGTCCTTTAGGGTTTCTGGTGTCACCCTACCAGTGACTGGGTGGGCAACGGCCATAAGAGACAGCACAGGAAAGGGTGTGGGCTAGACACGGACCCCTGAGAAGTTTAAGTCTGGCTGGGGAGGACATCCGTTGTGGGCACCCTCAGGTGAGAGCCAGGCATGGAGTGTGTGGCTTCCGGAGGGGCTGGGCGTGAAAGCGCTGGCAATACATCAGCGGTCTGCTTGAGCCCGGCCTGATGCCCACATGCAGCACAGAGCTCAGCAGTCTGTTCATTTTCTCATCTAGTCACATGAACAAGGCCACACCCAGGCTGTGCGGGCCTCTGAAGGTGGGGCTTGAACCCACAGGCAGCAAAACTAGGCAGAGAAAGCTGTGACATGGGGTGCACGAAGTAGGAGCACCTGAGCTGACTACAGCCACTGGGCAGACACCATTGACAACCACGGACAACAAAGGAAGCAGTAGGACTCAGCACACTTTCCTAAAACAGACACTCCTGGATATAAAAGATCAGATAAATACCAGTACCATTAAAGTGGACTCAATACCCCATGGGCACAAATAGATCAACTATATGAAAAAGTCAACAGAAAGAGCAGCACTCAAGCTAACCCTCGAACAGACTTCACAGATACCTACAGAGGTTCCACCCGACAATAATACACATTCTCACCAGCACAAGAGACCAGAAAGCACACTAAACTATAGTCAGACCTTGGACTGCAGGCAACTAGGTCGGTGAGTGTTCTGCGTTTGAGCAAACATTTCTAAGAAATCTTAACTTGATAAATGAGGGACGTCTTGAAATATGAGTAGCACATCACGCCAAATGTCACATGGTCACAACTGCTTCTCTCATGCTGCCTTGATATATAAGTGCTTTGGATTATGTGCAGAATTAATTATTCTCACAAACTGACATTTTTTGTAAATGTAAAATAATGAAAATTATCCCATGCATATTAGATCATAGTGCAATGACACTAGAAATCGACAGAAAAACAAAAAGCCAAAGCTAGTACAAAGAAGAAAATAATAAAAATCAAAGCAGAAATTAATGAAACTGGGACTAAAAGAATACAAAGAATCAACAACTTCAAAAGCTGGTTCATTGAAAGAGTAAACAAAATAGACAAAGGGCCAGTCTTACTAAAAGAAAAATCAAATTTAAATCAATACAATTAGACATTAAAACAGTAAAATCACAACAGATACCACTTGAAATCAGAGGATTTGTAACTACTTTGAAAACCTGTACTCCAGCAAATTAGAGGATCCAGAAGAAATGGACAACCTGGAACAGTGGTGCATGTCTGTAATCCCAGCACTTGGGAGGCTGAGACAGGAGGATTGCTGCAAGTTTGAGGCCAGCCTGGACTACACAATAAGTTCAAGGCCAACCAGCAAACATCCTCCACAAGATACTGGTAAACACAACGAAGCATACCAAAAAGACCATACATCACAACCAAGTGGGCTCCATCCCAGGGATGCAAGGATGGTTCAACATATGCAAATCAAATGTGTTTCATCACATAAACAGAAATAAGGACAAAAGTCACATGATTATCTTAACAGATGCAGAAAAAGCCTTTGACAAAATCCAACACCCATTCATGATAAGACTCTAAAGAAAGTATAGGAGGACCTTATCTCAATTTGATAAAAGCCATTTATGACAAACTCACTGCCAACATGACATTAAATGGTGTAAAAACTGAAAGCTTTTCTTCTGAAATCAGGAATAAGACAGAGTTGTCCACTATCACACTCCTGTTCAATATAGTATTCAAAACATTAGCCAGAACAATCAGGTAAGAGGAAAAATAAAAGGGATATATATAGGAAAGAAATCAAATTATTACCATTACAAAAAAAAAAAAAAGAAATCAAATTATTGTTTGCAGATGACATGATCCTCTACAAAAGACCCAAGAAATTCTACCAAAAGACTCCTAGATTAACCAAATTCACTAATGTAGCAGGACACATAAATCAATAGCATTTCTGTACACCAATACTGAACTCACTGAGAGAGAAATTAGGGAAGGAAGATAATTCACAATGGTATCAAGAACGATTATAAACCTAGGAATTAACCTAACCAAGGAAGTTAAAAAACCTGTACAGTGAAAACTATAGTACTCAGAAAAAGGAGATCAAAGAAGACTAAGAAAATGGAAAGATAGCCCCTGTTCCTGGATGGACAGAACCAATAGTCAAAATGGCCATACTTCCAAAACTGATAAACAGATTTAACAGATTTAATCCTAAAATACCCCAATCAAAATACTGACAGCACTCCTCAGAGGAGATTGGGTATTATCAGGTTAATAATATCCCTTAGTTACTGCAGGCTGATCAGGTCCACAATCTCCTGAATGAGTGTATGGCAAAGGCTAAATAAAAAAAGGCAAATGGAATGACTTCAGGGCTCCAGGAGGATCAAAGCCCTATCACAGAATTCAAGATTCTCTCAGGGCTAAGACCAAGACCTTCTCTGGGTTGTCTGTATTTATTTGGTTGTCAGAAGAAGGGAGGGAAGTACTCAAGAAGGGCAGAACCACTCAAGGACTTCTCTAAATAAGGTATTAAGTTAATCCACTCAAGAATGAGATGCCTGAGGCTATAGTCTATCCAGTTGAGATCTGATCCAGGTGTCCCTGGCTGTGATCTTGTCTTATCATTTGAGGCTTTCTGGCTTCATCCACCACTACAGGTTTCAGTAGAGATTAGTGACTCAGAGGTTCACTTACTATGAGTCCACCATTTCCAGATAAGGAGCCTAGGCCTTGGACAGATTCATAAGTGAACATGAAAAGCTGATTTAAGTACTGTTGATTTAAGTACTGCTGATTTGACTGCAGATTGACTGATTTAAGTACTGCTCAGGTCTGCTTCGTAGTGGTCTCCATCAGGGCATGTTCAGGGTAGTATGGTCATAGACAAGAGCATTCCTCAGAGAACCAGGGAAAATAATCCTAAAATTCATAGGGAACCAGAAGAGACCCAGAATAGCAAAAGCAATCCGTGGGCAACAAGAGCAAAACAGGATATCACAATCCTGGATTTGAACTTATATTACGAAGCTACAGTGGTAAAAACAGTATGGTACTGGCACAAAAAACAAGACATATGGATCAAAGCAATAGACTATAGGATGCAGAAACCACTGCAGGCACATTCAGCTATCTGATCTTTGACAGAAAGACCAGAAACATATGCCAGATGGCAGACAGCCTCTTGGGGTTGGGGATTTAGCTCAGTGGCATAGCACCTGCCTGGCAAGCGGAAGGTCGTGAGTTTGATTCCCGGTACCAGAAAAACCAAAAAAAAAAAAAAGAAAAACAGCCTCTTTAACAGATGGTGCTGGGAAACTGGCTGTCCACATGCAGACAGACCCAGATCTCTCACCATGTGCTAACCCAAGGTAAAAGAGATTAGAGATCTAAATGTTAAAACAGAAACAAAGCCAGGCATGGTAGTGCACACCTGTAATCTCAGTATTCAGGAACAGAGTTCAGGGCTGGCCTAGGCTATATAGTGAGTTCCAGGCCAGCCTGAACTACCTAGCAAGATGGTCACAAACAAAAATAAAACAGAAACAGTCTTCTGGAAGACAAAATTGATAAAACTCTTGAAGAGAGGTGTAGGCAAGGACTTTTTGAACAGGATCCTCACTGTACAAGAAATAATACCACAAATCAACAAATGAGACTCTAGCAAATTAAAAAGCTGCTTACTAAATCTGCTGAAAGACAGACTAGGTAGAACCCTTGAAGACATAGGTGTAGACAAAGACTTTATGAACAAAACCCCAATTGCACAGGAACTACACATCAACAACTGGGATCTCATCTTATTAAAAAGCTTTTGCATAGCAAAAGAAACCATCAACAGAGTGAAGAGAGGACCTACAGAATAGGAAAAAAATTTGCCAACTGTTCCTCAGACAAAAGACTAATATCTACTAATTTCTCTCTCTCTCTTTTTTTTTTTTTGGTACCGGGAATCAAACTCAGGACCTTGTACTTGCCAGGCAGGTGCTTATGCTGCTGAGCTATATCCCTGGCCCCTCAAAAGACTGATATCTAGAATATATAAAGAACTAAGAAAAAATCAGATCCCCCCCCAATTTAAACACCCAGTCCTAAAATGGGCATCTGAAATGAATATACACTTCTCAGATGAAGAAGTAGAAACGGCAAATAAATGTATGAAAAAAATGTTCAACATCACTGGTCATTCAAGAGATGCCAATTAAAACAACACTGAGATTCCATCTCACTCCAGAAAGAATGGCTATTATCAAGAAATCAATAACAAATGCTGGAGCTGTGGGGAAGAAGGAACCCTTCACTGTTGGTGGGATTGTAGACTGGTGCAACCACACTGTATGTGGACTCTTCAAAAAACTAAAACTAGAGGTTCCATTCAACCCAGCTATTCCTCTTCATGGAATCTTCCCAAATTAAAAGCATCGTACCACAGCGATACATGCACACCCATGTTTATAGCAGCACAGTTTGTAATAGCCAAATCTTGGAAACAGTCCAAATGTCCATCAACCAGTGAATGGATAAAGATGCTTTTTTAAATATAATGAAGTACTACTCAGCCAAAAGAAGGGTAAGCATGAGACATTTCTAGGTACATGGATGCACCTTGAGACCATACTCTTAAGGGAAATACGTCAGACACACATATTTAAAGATCATATAGTTTCTCTAGTGTGAGAAACTAGAAGTGTAAATAAGGACCAAAACATATAATAGATATTGAGAAATAAGAAAATGTTCAAATGGAAAGGGGAACTAGGGAGAGAAGAGTGGGGAAAAGAAAGAAAAGAGACTGGAAGGAAAAAATGAAAACAAAGCTTTTGTAAATAAAGAGCAGAAGAGAGGTTGAAGGGAGAAGAGGGGAATGGGAAAAATAAAAGCAAGATATACCATGTACAAGTTCAAATCCCCTTTGATGAATGTGATCATTATATATATATATCTAAAATGTATCAATAAAATTTAAAAAAAAAAATTTCTGCACAGCAAAGGAAACAACCAACAGAGTGAGGAAACAACCTATATATTAGGAAAAACATTTTGCCAGGTACTCCATGGACAGAAAACTAGTATCTAGAATATGTACAGAACTCAAAAGCCAGGTGTGGTGGCATACACCTGTAATCCCAGCACTCAGGAAGCTGAGGTAGGAGGATCCCTGTGAGTTTGAGGGCAACCTAGGCTACAAAATGAGTTCAAGGCCAGCCTGAATGGCATAGCAAAACCCTGTCTGAAAAAGACCAAAAAAAAAAAAAAAAGAGAGAACTCAAAAACACTGCATTTGCCAAAATAGTAGACCCAACCAAAAATTGGACAACTGAATTCTTAAGACACTTCCCAAAAAATACACACAATATATACACGGAAAAATGTTCACCATGTCTGGACATTAGAGAAATGCAAATTAAAACAACAAATTCCATCTTATTCTAGAAGGATAGCCATCATTAATAAATCAAATAACAAATACTGAGAGACTGCAGAGAAAAATAACCCTTCTACATTGCTGGTGGGAATGTAAACTATTACAACTACCATGGAAATCAGTATGGAGATTCTGTAAAAAACTAAAACAAGAGCAAGGCATGGTGGCACACAAGTATGATCTCGGTACTGGGGAGGCTGAAGCAGGAGAATCTCAGTGAGTTCAAGGCCAGCCTGAACTACACAGCGAGACCCTATCTCAAACAATCAACTAACCACTAAAACAAGAAATCCATTAGACCCAACTGTTCTCCTCCTAGGTATCTTACTGAGGGAGTAAAGATGTCATATTACAGTGATATATGTATACCTGTGCTTATAACAGCACAATTCTTTTTTTTTTTCTTTCCATTTTTTTTGAGGGGGTAGTTTGCGACAAGGGGTCACTATGCATTTCAGGCTGGCCCTGAACTCATTATGTGGCCTAGGCTGGCCTCAAAGTCACAGTGAGTCTCCTGCCTCAGCCTCCTGAGTGTTGGGATTATAGGTATGCATCACCATGCCCAGCTTTATAGCAGCACAATTCTTAATAGTTAAATCATAGAGGTGGCCTACCAACAGATGAATGGATAAAGAAATGTGGTCTTTACTCACAATGGAGTATTACTCTGCCACTAAGAAGGCTAAACGAGTCATTTGTAGGAAAATGAAAGCACCTCGAGACCATAATGTTAAGTAAAATAAATCAGATACATAAGCTTCAATATTACACAGTTTGTCTTACATGCGAAACCCAAAGTTCAAATAAATTAAAGGGTGATAAAGAGATAGAAAACAGCAAATGGGGGGTAGGTCTTTTAGAAAGGGAAGGGGACCAAGACACTGAGGGGGTGGAGGGAGGGATGAGAAAGGGTGACGATGTGTGTGTCCGTGCACCGACTCCCACGATGGACTTGATCAGTGTGCTGCAAACACCGACTCATACAAGTGTAAAAAACTGACCAAGGGGCATAACTCATCCAGGAATGCCACATCCTCTGTGACAGCCCCGCACTCCATCCCCGTGTGCACCTCTGCTGAGGGAAGGCCTACTCTCTTAGCCGGGCATACCTGTGCCAGTTAGCAGCCCTCCAGTCAGTCACAACGGATTAAGACATAAGCCTTCCATTTTCCTGCACTCATTTCCCTAAAAGAATCACGTTTCTAAGACGGTATCTGGGCCTGGCATAGAATTCTGCAAGTCATCCATCCCGCATTTCCTATTCCAGTACCGGCGGGACACACAGGAATGAACTCGGGACGAGACATGGGACAATCATTCAGGACCACTTTTATTCAAGGCATATACAATGTGACGAGTACCAGCATTTCAGGTGCACAATCTATTTGCTGAACATCCAGGGGCATGGGGGAGGGGGAGCCTGGGTCTTCACACACTTTTCTACCCAGAGGTTAGTATGGTGCAGTCATGGCATACAACCACTTACTATAAAGTGAGTTTATTGGTAATAACTTTCTCAAATTTATTCCCGGTATCTGATGTTGCAAACTTTAGGGTCTTTGAGATATGCAGGATCCTTGTACATAACTGGCATAAACCCTGTAAAGAGATAATGAAAGTTCTTCATAACAGATAAAGGGCAAATACTGACTAGTCCAGTGCAGTGATTCAAGGTACACTTACCCATTATTTGAGCTCTCTTAATCGCTTTTGATATTTCTTTCTGTTTCTTCCCACAAAGACCTATAAAAAAAATTTTGTTTTGTTTTGTTTTGTTTTGTTTGTTTTTTTTCTGATACCGGGAATCGAACTCATGACCTTGCACTTGCCAGGCAGGCGCTGTGCCGCTAAGCTAAATCCCCAGCCCCTCCTATAAAAAATTTTTAAATGTTTTCTTTATAAGAAAAAATGCCAGTATTTAAAATTTATAACAATTTTCTAAGTCAGAGGTTGATAAGTTCTTTTTTGTAAAGGACAGGCATCAGATATTTTAGTTTTTATGGGTAGTACAGGCTCCATCAGAACTACTCAAATCTGCTATTTTACCTCAAAACCATGTGGTACTATGTAAACAAATCTACAAAAACAAGTGGCAGGTTGGATCTAGACTATGTACGGGGCAGATTGCCAACACCAGGTTGTAGTCATCCACGAATGATTAAGGTATACTTGACAATATTAAGAACACTATTTTTTTTTTTTTTTGAGACAGGGTCTCACTCTGCAGTTCAGGCTGGCCTTGAACTCACTATGTAGGCCAAGCCAGTCTCAAACTCAGTGATCCTCCTGCCTCAGTCTCCCAAGTGCTGGGATTATAGGCATGCGCCATCATACCCAGCATAAACACCATTTTCTTAAGCTCAAGTTTTCTGTATGTTGTCAGCCCATACGTAACTCTAATCAGAAAGAAAGACACAAGATTATAATCCTTTAGGCCGAAGAAGCTTTCTCTAAGTACTTAGCTCTAGTCCTCATAGCACCTGATAGCTATAAAACATCTAAAAGTGATTTACAGAACAATTTGAACATTTGCCATTTTCCTTAAATGACAGAAATAGATTAATGCAATTCTTATTTATACTTAAATAGCTATGATTTTTAAAATACCTGTTATATGCCTCCCATGAATGCAGCCAGTATATGGAGAAATAAACTGGGATAAAAGCTGTTTGGAGGGAAAAAAATTTATTAATACATGTTAGTCAGTCCTCAATGTAAATTAAAAGAAAACCTTACATGTGCTCTTCAAGTTATGCAAATATTTGTCAGTTTCAGACAAATTCGATGAGATAAAATATCCTTAAGAAGTCATTTTTTAAGTAACTAATAACAAAAGTTAACAAAGTCTATAACAGATTAATCAGCATAATCATTCAGTGATAAAGTTGCTTTCTTAACTTTTCCACAGATATTTTCTAAAATACTGCTGCTTACAGCAAGGTACTAAAACATTTCACTTACCAAGGTAGGCTGTCACATAATCACGAGGCTGGGTTACCAGAGCATACTGAAGTCCACAAGACATCCCCATATGAGTATTGGGACATTTACTACAATGTTTCATTAATGAAATGTTTTAGCACTTTTTAGGTTCCAGGCACTGTTCTTGGCACTTTGTACAATCTTCCCACTATGTTACGTTTTTTGGGGTAATGGGAACTCAGGACCTCACACTTGCTGGGCAGGCATTGTACCACTGAGCTAAACCTCCAGCCCTATGTTGTATTTGTATAATTTCTGGGTTTTTCTCCCTCAATGGAAGCTATTACTTTATACTCATCTCAGTATACTTAACACCAGCACCATTCATTTCACGAAATTTGCCCCTTCAATTCATGGACAGCCAGATGAGAAAGAGGATATCTGAAGCAGTAATAGGGATGGTGAGGTACAAGGTCAGCTTCCCCAGAGGAGCTGTTCCCACACTGCCCATCTCATCACCTGAGAATCGCGGGCAAGGTGAACCACTGTGAAGATCTTCAGGGTGAACAAATGGGGGAAAACTGAGCTGAGACGCAGAAGTGTGGGCGAGCCAAGGGCTTCCGATGGAATAAGGACACCTTACACATAGAATTAGAACCAGATTCGAAAGCAGGAAGTTGCAAACGTTGCCTATATATGAAGCTTGCTATAAAACTTACATTATTCTTTTTTTTTTTTGAGTCAAGGTCTTGCTGTGTAATCCAGGCTGGCCTCAAACTTGCACGATCCTCCTGCCTCAGCCTCCTGAGTACAGGGATTACAGGCGTCCTCACTACCCCCAGCTACATTATTCTCGTTTAGCAAGACTAACAAAGGCGCAAAATCCTAAAACCAAGCACTAGAGGGGAGCAGAACCAGTTCTCACCTGCACATTCTTATAATCCACACGTTTCCCACACAAGATACACTTCTTGAGAGGTTCCTTATAAGGGTTTTCCATTGCAACAGGCTAGGATGAAGAAGAAAAGTCTGATTATAATGTTAATTTTCAATTTTTAAAAATTAAATTATAGGGTTATTCCATTAAAATTCACCCCAAACACAGTACCTTCCTTACCGTGTACATATTTTATACAAGCGCTTTATTTTGTGTCAGTCTGGTTAAGGAGTTTTAATCTTTGAAGAAAGTTTTTTTTTTTT